CACAAAGTGCGCATCATAATGGACGAAACCATATCCTTCGGTGTACTGGGTGCTACAGGCCGCGGTGTCACAGAATACTACGATATTCCCATCGAACAGATCGACATCTTGACAGGTAAGTCCTGCTCCATCTGCACTAACATTGGAACACACGTTTAATTGTCTAGAACGCAAAGTTTAATTAAAATCTACGAACAGATAACCCACTCATTTTCCTTTCCCGCCTAGCATTTCAGAACAATAAATTTCACCGAAGCACTTAATAAGTTAACCATTATCCTTTTTGCGTACCCAGCTGTCAGTTATTTGCTTTTTGTAAACTTTTACTTGTGACTTTGGTTATTGTCGTGACTAGGAAAGAAGTTACAACTAATGTGCGTGCTTCTGCTACTTTGATTGATTTTTCCACTACGATAGCCCAGGATGCACAAATGTACGACAAATGCTTATTAAAAATTGACTGAGTGTTAGTTTATTGTCTGAAAGATCGAGATCATCAATCTAGAATCAGAAGACAAACTGCACGCCTTCGTCGGTGTATTCGTAATACTTCGGAAATGTATCCACCAAAGTGGCGAGACCAGTCGAGTATGCGTCTAAAATGTCTATGGGACTTCTGTCTACGGGATAAGACAGTCTGATTAAACTCGCTTTTTAGCGTCCAAAGCCTCTGTTAGACTTTCTTCATTCTGCATCCCAGCCTTCAGCGCTTACAACTGTGCTTTGCCCTAACGTGCATTTTACGGTTTCTCTTAGAAAAAGTACTGATTTAGATTTTCTTGAAATACTGTTGTTTTGGCAGGTGCACATTATGTAGTCATTTCTAGCGTTGTAGAATGTGCAACTTAATTACCTTTGAAGTCGGTGTCTCTATTTTCTGATTATTATTGTCGGTGAGTGTCTCAACTATTTTCCTGGTAGTCTGTGAATGCCTAACGTACCTTTCTTGGGCTGTTGTCTCCCCAATCAATTTTAATTCCTAAACTGATAGCAGGGACGTACCAGAAGTTCTTAAGGAAAAGCTTACTACATTTACTTGTGATAACACAGCCGCAACTTCCGGATCAGCACCCAGTTAATACCTCCCTGGTTATTCTTGTCGTGGAGTTTACTGACCGTTCAAACAATCATCTAGTTTTTTCCACTATCCGTTGTTCTTGTATACGTCTGCCGTAAACCTTGACTCTAAAGCGCACTTACCCGATCTCCTGGCAACTTAACGTCACCTTTTGTTTAAAAGCGAAATTTAGTTTTTTGGTTGTCTGCGACGGAACCGAAAGGGATTACGGAACTTTGGCTTTGTCCTTGTGGTTGCTAATCCACAAGACAGTTGTAAAAACGACCTTTCCACCGACATCTTGAGTAAATTTGGGCGTTGGCCTAGGCGTTTCAAACACTCTTTCTAACTTTAC